CGGCCCCCGGCTGCGTTCGGACGATGGACTGGCCCGACGGCGAGGGCGTGAGGCCGGCCAGGAGGCGCTGGTCGGAGGCAGTGGTGCTGTGGGACACGGAGCTGGCCAGGCTGGACTGGCTGAGGTGCTGGGGCAAGGGCTGCAGCTGGTGGCACTGGCTGAGGCTGCGGGGCAGCGCGGCCGGCGCGGCGGCCAGGGACCAGTCGGACTTGTGGGTCTGCGCGCTCAGGGAAGGGCTGGACAGGGCCTGCTTGCAGGGCGCCGGGGGCCGGTCCACGTAGTCGTTGCTGGCGTGCGTGGAGCGCAGCTGTTCAATGGGCAGGATCTGTTGGAAATCGTCTGTCACGGCGGCGTCCATTTTGCCGCGAGTCTCGAGCTGGGGGCAGAGTGGCACTTATGGTGGTAAAGAGCCCTTGCGGTTAGTGACCTTAGCTCACGTCAGAGCATCCTAGGAGAGAAGGAATAGAAACAAGAAATGAGAACACAGCGGCAGGGCTGCGGAGCGGGCACCTCCGGGGCTCTGGGCTGTCTTCAGCGGGCCCCTTATCTGGAGCCCCGTCCACTTCTTGATGGCAAGTCTGCTCCTCCCATTCACACAAGCAGGCACGCCAGGCACAAACGCGGCTCTTGGTGGCTCTTGTGTTCCGTCCCGGGAGCAGCCAGCTGCTGCAGATGCTCGCTAAGTGGAATCTAAAGCCCCGGGCCTCCGGATTCTACTAGGCAGGGGACCCAGTTCCCGAGGCAAAGGCCACTTCCTGAAGCAGTGGTGATGGAAACGGCCTTCCCGGAGAAGCTGTGCACATCGGAAGCAAAATTCTCCTTCGGGGACACTTGTGGAGAGCATCAGTGAACAGGGGGCGCTGCTGGACTCAAAAGAAGGTAGGCAAGCGAGCAAGGAGCAGTCACGGCAGAGCCACCGAGGGCTGAAATGAGGCTGCCTGTGGGGCAGCCGGGAGGAGGTTCCCCAGCAGTGTGCGGATGCCGGGACTAAGTATCTTGCAGCTTTCCTCACTTTAATTTACCGGAAGGCGGTTCTCTCTAAGTGGCAGTGTGTGGCTCCGGCAGCAAACTTTGGTGTGCTTAGGGACAGCACCGTGAACGGAGGAGCCGGGGGAGAGGGGGCCCTCATCGAACTCCAGTCACCCAGGACTGCACCTCCTCCCCGAGCCGCATCTACCTCGCTGGCATTTTCTAGGCCAAATCAGCCTGGACTGTCTTCCTCTGTCTCGACACAGTGAACGCACCTGCTGAAACATGGGTGCGCCTGCAGTGGCACACGTAAGCCAACTCGCACTTCTAGACCGCCTGGGCTGTGTGTCCCCAGCACGCGCGCTCCTGACCGACTGCAGGTCATTCCCGGACTTCGCTGAACTTAGCACTGAGAATGTGATGGCGAGGGAGGTGCTGGCAGAGCGCCGCACTGCCCCACCGGAAGCCAAGCTGCCGCACGCTGCGCACGAGGAAACACACAGACACGCAGTCGTCCTGCGGAGAGTGGGCCCGGCACACACGAGTGACAGTGAGGTGTACGGCTGCCATCCCTCAGCCCTCAGGCCTCCTCGTGAGGCAGGGTCTGCATGAGCGAGAGACATGAACAAGCCAGGGGACGGCACTCCTCCACCCAGACCCACGAGCAGAGTGAGCTCAACACGGACAGGGCAAGCTGCATGTCGGGAACAGCAGGCAGACGCCCCCGAAGGCGCCAGTGCCTGACCACCCAGGCTCGCCGCCACCTTTCGAGCTCTGTCCCGGTGCAGAGGTTTGATTTGCTTAAAAGTAACTTTTCTGGCACATCCCAGCAAAGAGCCCAAGTGAGCACTCTCACTTTCTAGCTAGTCGTGCTGGTGCTGCTGAACCCGCACGAGAGAATGCAGGTAGACACTACGGGAACTCCAGGACTCAACTACTGTCCGACCTCGGCCGAACGGCCTGTCTTGTTCAGCAAGCGGGTGAGGGGTCTATCAAAGGGCTCCCTTCCCCCACGCTCGGCAATTCTACAAGCACACTTGTGGACAACTCTCTTTCTCGACACCTGCAACCCTTGTGGGCAACTGAGGGAACGCATCCACACTGGTCTGCGCGGCCAAAAGCAAACCGTGTGGATTTCCCTGTTGTGAGCACGATGTAGGCACGCACGTGTGCATACGTGTATACACAGGCGCACATGACTCCGCTTATGTGTGCATGTGTGTTGTGTCCCTAGCGTTGTGCACGTGTGTGGCTGGGTGTGTCGTGCATGCATGTGTTTCTGTGTAAGCATGTGGGGGGGTGCTTGGGTTGAAAAGGTGTATTTGGATATTGACGAGACTGCTCTAAGACAGACGTGAAGGTCTTGCGCCGATGACTAAAGGAATCGTTGGGCCTCTGTCTGGAATGACAAGGGCTATTGTCTTGCTTACAGGCAGTGGGATGGGCAGGATGAATTCCAAAGCCTCTTCCTGCCCTGTAAAATCTTTTATGAGAACGGACATGAAGAGCTGCAATATGGTGGCAGCGGAGCCTGGGTAAATCAGGGTGTTGAGTAGGATAAAACAGGATCGGATGGCAATAAATTGTTTGCCATTGCCGACGTGCCGAACGCCGAGTCTGATCTGGCTAACAGGATGAAGCGAAACAGGTACTAAAGGAAAGGTAAGAAAGGGCAAAAGTGGACAAGCGGACAGGCAAGAGACTGCTGTGGCCACACACTAGATGCGTGTTTGCGTCAGAAAAGGGCCATCCGTTGTAGCGGCGACAGTGAGAAACGGCCCTGCTGATCAATCCCACCGTCGGTGGAAGGAGAGCAAGAGCACACAGATCACACAGCGCTGGGCAGGAGCCACAGTTCCTACCCAGTCCTGGCCGTGCAACGATGGGATCTGGTGATTTCTGTCACGTAGCCGCTGCAGTTAATGGTGCCCTGAGAGCCGGCCTGGCCAGGTGCTCACAGCTCTGCTGTAGCCCTGATAAGATGTGCCATGCTCAAACCCAGACAGAAATGTGTCCTCTTAGCCAGTTTAGGGGCTAGAAAGCAAAATCCATCCAAAACATGCTAATATCTGCTAATGAAAGAAAAATGGGCTTGCTCCCTGGAAACTAAAATCTGCCCTATAGACACTAGAGTGGCAAACCTCCCTGTCAAAAGCCCGTTTATGCGCCCCCCCCTTAACCCAGTTCTGATTTCTGTGATAAATACTTGGTGATCTCCTGTGACTCAATCTCCATTTCTGGGGGGGGGGGTGCTGGCACCCGTTTTCTCCCACCACCATGGGCTCAACGCTGTTTTGTACCGTACAGTGTAACGGCTCTGTGCTCTGCTGTTCCATCCACTCGTTCTCAGAATAACTGAAAGCAAACACAGGCTTTATATGTTTTCTTAGTTCTACTGTTCCAAAGTCTGCTCTCTAAAAATCCCTCTCTGTGCGAAAGCATTTGCATCTCTATCAAAGCACTCCCCCTTACAAACGCCAAGTTGTATATAGTTTACATTACCAACCTCTCAGCGGCCTGGGCCTCCCTCCTACGTATACATCTTGCTGGCTGCCAGGTTCTCGCCACATTTAACTCTTAACTTGTCACTTTGCTACCCCAGTCCAATTCGTTAAGACTCAGCGCGGTGTATTTCAGACCAGGGAGTCTGCAGTTTTAAGACCCCGCGTTATTAACGCTCTGAGAGCTTTCACGATGGCCATGCAGGGAATTTGTGATGTCAGATGAACACACACCCTTCTATGCTGGGGGAAACGGCCTGCAGTTCCCTCAAGGAGGAGGACCCGCTCTCTGAACCCCAAATCCTTGTACAAGAGACAAGATACACGTTTGAATCCTGAGTCTGGCTCCACCTGGCTGTGTGGCCATGAGCAAGTGACTTCCGTGTCAGGCCTCAGTTTCTTCATCTGCAGAAAGAGGGGTGCGAGAAGAGGAGCTGGAAAGCCAGATGCTCGAAATGTGGTGGGTGGGTCTGCCGGCTGCACTTGTGTGTCCTGGAAGTGTCTTTCGTGAAGAATGAGCCTCTTGCTTTACTCTCTGCCCTTCCCCAGCCCTGGGCTGGGCTGGCAAAGCCCTGCGAGGCCCCTCAACTGGCCGTGCAGACCCAAACGTGCAGCACAGAGCAATGCCCAGGCCCTTACAGGGAAGGCTGCGAATGCTTACTCAGAAGTGCAGGAGCAAGGCCGACACCCCCGCCGCCAGCCAGCCAGCCAGCAGCCACCTAGCCGCCTGCCCGCCCGCCGCCGAGGCTGCCTGGCTGTGGCTGCTGGCTGGGAGCTGGGACCCGAGGGGCAGCCCCGTCAGGTGTTAACAGGCCCAGAAAAGCAAGCGCGGTCTGCATCTCCAAACAGGCGTTCGGCTGAAGGGTTCAAGGTCTGTTACCTGGTCGCCCGCCGCCGGCCGAGGCTCGCGGCAGGCACGCGCGGGCCGGGGCGAGTGAGCTGGACGCTGGAAGGCAGCGCGGGCCACTGCCCAGGTCCCAGCAGATGCCTACTGGCCGCTCAACTTGCTCACACGGCTCTCACTTTCAGCAGAATCTCCAGATGCCACACACATGTGCACACACAGCCAGGCGCGGATCCAGAGATTTCTACATCGCGGCTCTGACTCAATGTAAGTAGGGGGTTACGCCGTGTCAGCTTGCGCCATTTCTACCCAGGGCAAGGTGATGTGATGAAATCCGAACGATGCACGGCCGGGCCCCGGGAGCCAATCGCAGCCCGGCCCCACGCTGACAGGACGCCGCTGGGCAGCCCGACGGGCCTCGG